TAAACTGTCCTGGTTTGAAAAAAATAAATGTTGATTCTATATATATACTAGTACAAAACATTGCAGTTTAAGTTTTAGATATAATCTTTTCATGGATATTACAGTTGTAAAATGAGAGTAGATTCAGTAAAATGACAGAATTTGGCCCACTCTTGACTGACTCCAATATGGCCGATATGTACAGAAATAATATATGGCACAATCGCCGTCAAAAAGATATTCACACAGGAAGTGATTTTTTTATGTTCAGTGACAAAACAAATTCGGCACAACGTTTTTCATCTATATTTATAAACAGAGACGATCTAATGAGCATAAGTCGCTCACCTGGGATCTATGTGCATTTTCAACATTGAAGACAATAATATAATTCATGACCTCTCTTTCGTTGATTTTGTATTGCTGATAATTTTTTTCTATTTTTAGTTTCTGTCTGTCTATATAAAAATAAGGAGATGAGGTATGATTGCCAATGAGACAACTATCCACCAAAGTACAAACAAATTGGATTTAAGCAATTATAGGCAACCGTACGGCCTTCAACATTGAGAAAAACCCATATTATATAGTCGGCTATAAAAGATCTCACAAAACATGTTTAACCCCGCGGCATTTTTGCGCCTGTCCCAAGTCAGGAGCCTCTGGCCTTTGTTAGTCTTGTATGCTTTTTAATTTTAGTTCATTTATATGTTTCGGAGTTTAGTGTGACGTCCCTTTTCACTGAACTAGTACACATTTATTTAGGGGCCAGCTGAAGCCCGCCTCCGGGTGCGGGATTTTCTCGCTGTGTTGAAGACCCATTGGTGGCCTTCGGCTGTTTTGTGCTCTTTGGTCGGGTTGTTGTCTTTTCGACACATTCCCCATTTCCATTCTCAATTTTACTCACATCGATGACGAACGAAGGGTATAGGTCTATCAGGTCAGAAGGGTTGATGTTACTATTGCTAACGAGATGATCCATGTTGAAGAACTTTTTACGAAAATCGGCGGCTTCATTGTACACCCTAGATACTGGACACTTGGTGAAGAGGGTGTTAAAGTCTACGGCTGGATAACGTTGAGCATTCAGGGCGACATGGATATTTTGTAATCGACAGTGATCAACCAAGGCTGCTTTATGATCTTGATAAGTTACTTTTCTCGGTTTGGAAGGCAACGATGATGTATCTAGGCTCCTCCCGTCAACTCTTGGCAGCGAGTCGCCAAGTGAATTGTCTACTTTGGGAAACATATATGGAATCGCACTGCCTGAAACACAGTTGAGTTTACTTTTGCTTTGGATTGTTTTGTATGGTTTTATCTTGTTTTCATCGGAGGGGATCACATGAGAAACAAACCAGGATAGTTTATGTAATACTATCTTTGCTGGATCCACCCCTGTTGCTCTTAATACTGCATTTGCATCAGAGTCTCGCACGAGTGTGAGTTCGTGTTTGATCCATACACAATCTTGTCATAATCCCTTGCGAAACCAAAGATGTGTTTTAAAGGGATGGCGAATGAAAACATTCCTTTAATTGCAGGTTTTGCGATGATGTAACCATGTATAGCTGCAAAACCAGTGTTATCAGCCTCGACTTCAGTCGTAGTATATTTTTACCACAATTGGTTGAGACCTCGCGATTTGCTAAAGTCGTCGGGATATGTCAACAACCCCAAGATAGTAGTAGCTATACCTGGATCATTGAGGTATTCAATCTGCTGATACCATTGTTGACAAGGGAGACCAGATCTGCATCGGCATACGCTGTGTCGTCGTTTTATGCAGAAGTCGTCCTTCCACCAAAAGATAACTCTCAGCCGGATGAACAAACAGATCTTGGGTTTCGATGTTGATTCTTATTTCAGCACCTGAAGTGTTTAAGGATGCTCCAGTTTGGGGTTCGTATTCATGGACTTGATATTCCTGAATACTTTCATCAAAAGACAAACCATCTGTGATACTAAGTATATCATTCATTTATTGATAGCGTTTGACGAAGTCGTGAATGGTTGCCATTATTTTTTCGATGACGTCAACTTGCATAGAAAGGATTGAATGATCAGGCTGGTTAAAATGTTGGTAAACAATGTCGCTTTGCATTGTTGTTGATGTCTGATCTATGGCCGCACATACGTTTATTTAGCCTTCTTTTCGTTTCACCGACATATACCAATCCGTGAAGGTTACACTCTAATCAGTAGACGGCATTTGTTGATTTACAATTCAGATCATCGTAGCTTTTGGTAAAATAAGACTTTTTTAGTTAAACTGCTAGTGAATTGAGCATTTGTTATTAAAATTTTACAGGTTTTGCAGTTTTTTGTTTTACATTTCGAAATGAGACAGTGTTGTTCAGAGTCATTAAAATCCAAAATGTCTTGTAGAAGAACTGAAGTCTGCGTACGTAGATTATTGCTGTTGTTATAGTATAATGATCTGAATGATCTGTGGGTGATCTCAGGTGCTCCGGAAGGGTAAGCAGATCCTGCTCCACATGTGGCAACCGTCTTGTTGCTCATGTTAATACAAACCCGGTATAAATAAGTCTAATTCGGTAGGTCAAATTCGGGGAAAAGGGGACGGGATTGTAGTTACGACATTTTGAACATATGCTATCATCTGTGAAACGGATATTCCATAACTGACAACCAACTCGTGATGGAAGAAATCAATACACTTATACTGGTTACTCAAGTTATTGTCTGTAAACCAATTATTTTTGGATGAAGACGCTAACAATGTCAAAACATTATCTGACCACTAAAAAATTTGTGGTCCTATAAAATTTAGGAGTTTGACTCATCTGCATTAAATGTAAGTACAAGTAGGGACTTCCCTTTAAGCATCGACTCTTGGTGCTTTAATACTTCAGATTAGTCATAATATCCTTTTTTCAATGTTATTTGCAGTATATATACCTCATAGTTAATTATGTGGGTTTTGTTTTGTTTTTTCTTTATAAATTGAAATTTCTCTGCACAAACTACTTAAGCCTCTAGTTTATTTAAGTCAAAATACACTTACCTGGTGCACTTGGGTCAATGTCAACATAATATTAATTGCATTATAATATATTTCTATTATTTTTTTGTATGTGTTTTTTGTTGTTTTTTTTTATTATTACACATTTTACATATCTATTGTCTAGATTGCATTGCATACGTTATTGTTTATAATCATATTGTTTATATGCTATATGCCTTCCTTCGGCCCTAATTTGGTGAAATAAAATATTCTATTCTATTCTATTCTATTCTATAATAAAATGCTCTGCTGGGCGCAGCTTGATACAACCTCAGAGGTCGAACCCTGAACAGTTGGGGCAAGTATGGACACAACATTCAAGTTTGATACAGCTCTTAATTTGGATTGTGATTAAATATTTGACACAGAATAGGTTTTTGACACAGAATGAATGTGGTCTAAGAACTTAAAATTTTTTAATTTACCTATTATGGTCCAACATCCAAAATCTTAATACATGGTTAGATTCAGCATATCAAAGAATCAAAAGAATTCAATTTTTGATGAAATCAAACAAAGTTTAATTTTGGACCCTTTTGACCTCAATGTGGACCAATTTGATAACGGGGCCCAAAAATCAAAATACATGGTTAGAGATTCAGCATATCAAAGAACCCCATATATTCACTTTTTGTTGAAATCAAACAAAGTTTAATTTTGGACCCCAACTTGGACCAACTTGAAAACTGGGCCCATAATCAAAAATCTAAACACATGTTTAGATTCAGCATATCAAAGAACCCCAAGAATTCAATTTTTGTTAAAATCAAACTAAGTTTAATTTTGGACCCTTTGGACCTTAATGTAGACCAATTTAAAAAACGGGACCTAACATTAAAAATCTAAATACACTGTTAGATTTGGCATATCAAAGAACCCCAATAATTCAATTTTTGATGAAATAAAACAAAGTTTAATTTTGGATCCTTTTGACCTCAATATGAACCAATTTGATAGCGGGGCCCACAAATAAAAAATCTAAATACATGGTTAGATTCAGCATATCAAAGAACCCCATATATTCAATTTTTGTTGTAATCAAACAAAGTTTAATTTTGGACCCCAATTTGGACCAACTTGAAAACTGGGCCTGAAATCAAAAATCTAAATACATGTTTAGATTCAGCATATCAAAGAATCCCATATTTTCAATTTTTGTTAAAATCAAACTAAGTTTAATTTTGGACTCTTTGGACCTTAATGTAGACCAATTTGAAAACTGGACCCAAAATTAAAAGTCTAAATACACGGTCAGATTTGGTATAACAAATAAATAAATGTGGTCAAAGATTTTACAAATCTAATGCGCCATACTGTGCAATTAAAGATTACTTCTTGAATTTTTTCAATATTTGAAATTTGAAAAAAAAATAATATTTGAAGAATGATTCTTTTTAATTTCTGAAATCTGAAATGAGAAAAAATTGACCCCCCACAATTTCTTTTTACCCCCCCCCCTTTTTTCCCCCAAAAAAAATCTTTCCCTCAAGATATGGTCATAATCTTAATACAAATTTCCAATGGAATTTGCAAATATAATTACCCATTTAAATTTACCATAGTGCTAACTTAATCTATTTTATAATAGAATTTAAAATATGGTGTCAAATCTTTCATATGGATTTTTTTGTAAAAAAAAAAAAGATGCAACATTTGAAGATATTTTTACTGGTCTTCCTTTATAAATATGCATTTCTTTAAACATAATTTAAAAGCAGTGTAAGGGAAGTAATCAAAATGTTGTATCTGGATTACCTCCCTTACACTGTTTTAAATTGTCTTACTTGTTCATTAACCATTACTTTATACATAATTTAAAAGCAGTGTAAGGGAGGTAATTCAAATGATGTATTTGATTTATCTCCCTTACACTGCTTTAAATTATGTTTTGTACTAAAGTATTTGTCCATATAAAAATGCTTGTTTTTTGCCCCTTTTTTGGCCCCTAATTCCTAAAATTTTGAGGCAATTACCCCCAATATCAATCCCCGTGAGCATTCCCTTTGTGATATGGAACCTTGTGGTACAATGTCAGAGAGATCCATACACTAACACACAAGTTATGTCTGGAAGTTACAAAAATGCTTATTTTTGGCCCCTAATTCCTTAACTGTTGGTACCATAACCCCCAAAATCAATCCCAACCTTCCTTTTGTGGTATTGAACCTTACGGTAAAATTTCATAGAGATCCATTCACTTAAACTAAAGTTAGAGTGCGAAAACCAATGTGTCTTCGGATGACGACGACGACGCCAACGTCATACCAATATAGGATCGCAAATTTTGTTTGCAGTCGTATAAAAAGGGAAGAACTTCCTTTCAAACCCTTCTTACACAATAGACATCTAGATAAATACATGATTGAAGGTGGTTCAAAAGGAAGTCTTGCCAGGAAAAGACCTAATCATCATTATCATTAAAGATAAGCTTCGATCAATAAACCAAGTAGTGTTCTCCTGTGTACCTGTCTTGAGGTACCAGCTGTGTAAGTCAAAAGATAAGCTTGTATCAATAAACCAAGTAGTGTTCTCCTGTGTACCTGTCTGGAGGTACCAGTGTAAGTCATAAGCTGTATGTTTCACTTGTGAAGCTTAGCATCTGAATATCTTGTGTCTGCAAAGTCCCAATCTGAAAAAAAATTGTTTTACCTAACACACAGATCATATTTATGTTTATGAGTTTTATCATTAGCATGTCAATGTTGAGTTCTCATGTGTTGTTCTAAGTTACCAGATTCACTAAACCCTCTACCACATACATCACATTTATAGGGTTTAACTCCAGTATGTGTTCTTTTGTGTCTCTCTAAGGGAGCAGGTCCTACAAATCTCATACTACATACATCACATTTATAGGGTTTATAACCAGGATGTGTTCTAAAGTGACTCTGTAAGATTCTTTTAGTACTAAATTCTTCACCACATAAATCACATTTATATGGTTTATAATCAGTATGTAATTTCAAGTGTATCTGCAGATAACTAGGAAGCTTAAACCTTTTACCACATACATCACATTTATGAGATTTTTCATCAGAATGTAATATCAAATGACTCTCTAGGTGTTTAGGATGAGCAAACCTTCGACCACATACATTACATTTATGAGGTTTATCACCAATGTGAGTTCTTATGTGCACATCTAAATCTCTTTTTCTATTAAATCTGCTACCACATACATAACATTTATATGGTTTATCAGCCTTATGCAGTATTATCATGTGTTTCTGTAAAGTACTAAGCTGACTATACTCTTTACCACAGACTTCGCATTTATGAGGTTTATAACCAGTATGTGTTCTAGAGTGTGTCTGTAAGTCACTACTTGTAATGAATTCTTTACCACATACATCACGTTTATAAGGTCTATGTGTTCTCAAATGTTTCCTTAAGTCATTAGGAACATAAAACCTTTTATCACATACATCACATTTATGAGGTTTATTACCAGTGTGAGTTCTTGTGTGCACATTTAAATGACCTTTGTTAATGAATCCTTTACCACATATAAGGCATTTAAACTGCTTTTCATCAGTATGTATTCTCATGTGTTTCTGTAAAGTACCAAGTTGACTAAACTCTTTACAACATATATCACATTTATGAGGTTTATCCCCCGTGTGTGTTCCTTTGTGTTTCTTTAAGTATTCATTCCGTCTAAACCCTCTACCACATACATCACATTTATAAGGTTTATTTCCAGAATGTATTCTTAAGTGTCTCTGGAAGTTACCGTTAGATTGTCCAACAAATTCTTTACCACAGACTTCACATAGAAGTTTTTCACCAGTATGTGTTCTCATATGTCTCTGTAAGGTACCAGTATGCATGACTATATCATTTGCCATAGATATCACAGTGATGAGATTTATCACCAGTCTCTATAGTTCCTCATGTGTCTCTTTTAGTTACAAGGTCCAATTAATCCTTTGATCCAATATTAGGTTTATGTCCAGTGTGTGTGCAAGTTTCTAAAAAGTTTCAAAGTCACTACTTCAAATAAATGTGTACCACTTAAATAGCATTAAAGTTCTCAATACGGTACACAGATGACTTACTTCTTCACCATATACATCACCTTAATGAGATTTATCACCAGTATGTGTGTGGTTTTGACTTCTCATGTATCTTGTTAAGCTAACATTCTCACTAAAAAACTAACCCATACATCATAGTTCGGGGATGTATCTGAAGTTTATGTTTTAATTTGTCACAGTAAGTCACTTAATATTTCCAATTTATTCCTTACTACATATACCATATATATATATGTCTAACCTTTATAAGGTTTATCCTATTGTGTCATATGGTGTACTGAGTCCCTGTAAGGTACAAACAAAGCAAAGTTATACCACATCTTCCTATATCTATTTAGAATAAGGGAGAAATACACAAGTTAGAACAAGGATTTATGCATATATACAAGTCACAAATATAAGTGCCTTTAAATAGAAACACATAACATACATGTACAAATCTATTTGAGAGTGGATTATTAAGTCACAAATATGTATATATATATATATATCATATAAATCCTTGATTATTTTAGAATATTAAAAGAACAGAGTTCCAATGTCCCCTGTGTTGCACATATTTTATCTATCAAAAGGCAATAACTAAAAAAAGTACTTTTTATTTTTTTTTTAAACAATTTATAAATAACTTAGAGAAATGAAGGCTTCAGAGCAAATGCAATGTGATTTCCGTTATAATTAATTTTTCCGAGGGGCATAACACATATTAATATTTGATCGTCACTGATTTTCGAACTCGTCCAAGACATTGCTGATATAAAGCTATGATATAAGTTTCATATAAATCTGGCAAGAATTGTACACATGAGAGCGCTAACGATGTAATTTTCTATATAATCAATATTTCCAAGGGGCATAACTCTTTTAAAAATAATTGATCGGCACTGATTTTCGAAACTCATCAAGAACATTGATGATTTTAACCTATAATGTAAATTTCATAAAAATCTGGCAAGAATTGAACACATAAGAGCGCTCATAAAGCAATTTACCATATAATCAATTTTTCCAAGGGGTATAACTCTTTTAAAAATAATTGATCGGCACTGATTTGTAATAAGATAGGAAAAATTGTAGATCAGTGTAAGCGAAGTGGCACAGAATCTGTTTTATTATTTTTAAAGAGATATAGAATATAAATTGTGTAATACCAAGGTTTAAATAAAAAGCACTATTGCATACAAAGTCACAATTCATTTTGCCAACTATTAAAATTCTCCATGGGGGATTTTAAGCCAAGAGGACCTAATGCATACCTGTACGTCATCAGTGTACTAAATTAGAACATCTATGATTTTGAATGAATATGTATGTGTTTAAATATATTTTTTACTATTCTGAATGCCTTTTTTTAATGTATTTAGTTAACAAAATTGAGTTTTATAAGGGTCAGGTCGACACCTCTCGTGTGGGATATCCCCATAAAGCGGGAGAGTTGGCAGGTCTGACAATTGCATTTACTGCATTTCTTTCAAAAATACTGAGCAATTTTTCAGAGAATAAAAGGAGCTAAATTTAAAGTCAATGTCAGATACTGTGGATCCCATAATTGCATAAAAAATTATTAATTGCAATTCATATTTCAATCAAATACAATGTATGTCAGCAGTTTCATGTTATATGCTCATCTTTAATTAGAGGCAATGTTGGCAAAAAAACGTATTGACCATGCCAGCAGTAAATACCAGGAAATACTGGTCAATTGAAATTATGATAAACAGCAGAAATTACCAAATAAAGATTTTCTAATAAAGTTTATCAATTAACCTTAAGCTTGTAGGACATGTACATGGGATCAATAGACAGACTTGAAGCTAAGAAATTTATATCCCAAAGTTTACTTGCTGAAAAGGTTGTTTTTGGGGCATTTTGTAAGTTGAAACATAGGTTTACCTTTTTCCTCCTCTAATGGTTGCTTATTGATTTTAACAAGCAATCTGTGAGTATTGCATGGCAATACATAGTCCCCTACCGGTTAAAAATTCATTGTAATTGAGCAAACCTACCACTAAATTCTTCAAACAATTTACTAAAGAAAAGGAAAAAAATCCAAAATGTCATTTATCTTAATACAATGTCTTTTACAAATCTTTAAAAAATGAGTTAATTCCCTTTGAACAGAAATCTAGTAATTAATAAGTATTTCATCAATAATTTAATTCTAGGGAAAGGGCTTTAACTGAACAAGGAGAAAAGCTAAAATCGTGAAAATCGAATTTGACCTGTAACTTGTCATGATAAAACAATACACCAAATATCAAATCAATATCTTCAAGCATGAAGAAAAAAGTCTGGAAAACTGATTTACCAGACTGACGGATGGACAGACAGACGGACGGACAGAGTGCAAACCTAATGTCCCCTTCGACTTCGTCGGTAGGGGACTAAAAACAATTATATGACACTGAAGTTCAATAGTTGTAGGGTGGTATACAAGATTTTTCATTTCCATAAAAAAATGGAGATTTTTTTATTTTTGAGGCATATTCTTTTAACATTTCAATTTTAGAACATTTACTGATTTTATGCATCTGCTCTTATCATGCCATTAATGATTTGGACTGAAAGAGGATTTTGAAAGGCTGTTGAAGTGTATTTTAATTCATTTTGTAATTCCATATTTTCCACAGTGTTCTCCCCAGGCCCTTAAAGGACCGCGGGCCCGCGATGTATAATTTTCTACCGTGGTGGTATCGTTCTTGCCGCGATGTATAATTTTTCTCCGTGGTGCTAAAATTTTCGGTAAAAAAATCGTAAATCGGTAAAGTTTTAAACGACTTGTTAAACCTTTTCCGTGGGGTATAAAATTTCAGATGAAAACTGACCAGTTCAATCCAGTTCTTACAACTAGGTTGTTTACACCACGTGATCGATTTACCTTTTGAGGTTAACCTTGATGATTGAATTTAATCGATGTACATCATTCTTTTGTGTTTTAATTAATTAAGAGATCATAATTAATGATCAGACTTGTGAGGGACAAGCAGACATTTGTTAATTAACTCTATTACTCCAGCCTTTGGTTATAAATAATTTGCGTATTTTAAACGTGTTGGAGTTACTTCCCCTGATTTAGCTTATTACAAATAAGTGCTCCTAAAATATTATCTATCACTGAAAATAGAAATAAAGTACAAATTGAATGCAAAATTATATAAGAATGTTAGCTTAAGGATAAAAACTTTCATTCAACATACCAACAAAAATATATTGCAAATTATTTTTGATAATCATACTTTTATTAATGCACAGACATATTATAATAAATAGGTAGTATTTTCCAATTGTATACTGACTTAGCTTGATATGATATATGGGTATACAGATAGATGATATAAATTTACTTCTATTGTCTGTCTACCAAGTAACACAATAATGATTCTAATAATAATTGTATTGTTGTTTAAAAGAATCATGTCTAAAGCTATGGAAAATAGTTTTTAATTTACTAGAGGTTCTGCATTAAAATTTAATCTTGTTTAAATTTAATTGTTATCTAACAAAAATGGGGAATGTGTTGTGTAACTACAAGTATCAGGACAAATTGGCTTGATCAAAATATAAAAAGTGACTTAAGTTTAAAGACTAATAGTGCTTTCTTTTATTTATTCTTAAAAGAAATTCAAGTATACAAACTGTTTATTGATTTACTTCTTTTTTTACCAGGAATTTTTTTGACCCAAAGTCTACATAACACAGTAAACAAAACAAAGACAAAAAAGTAATGACACAAAAACTAACAAGAAAAAAAAAGGTGATGCAACGCGATACGACATACTGTACAAATCATTTTGACACGCGTTACCCTGGTGCTATCCAAAAATCCTGGGGAGAACACTGTTCCAGATATAAAAGTCATTAAAAATGTACTTCTTCAGCATAAAAAAATTAGGAATCTAATTCAATCTGCATTGCAAAGAAATACACTTCATGTATTCAAATAAACAAACTTATATTGTTGAAATTGTTGGAGAAAAAACTAAAAAAAAATTGTATATATGCTCAGGTTAGGAGTTTTGAAATTTTACTTATTGTTTCAGAACAATCACTGATAAGTGTAACCTAAATTATTGATTAAAAGCAGATGATTACTGCACTGATTTATCAAGTATTTATAGATCCCACTTAAATATCTTTATAAATATAGATTAAATTTTTTATTTTTTATTTTAAAACATTTTATTTTAAAACATGCTGTCTCACCTTCTTTACTTATCATTGATATTATGTTGATAGTTCTAAATATAAAGCTTTACTACAACTATCACATAAACTTAACATGATCCAAGAAAATGAGGTCAATATAAATAAAATATAAAGATACAGACTTAACCAAGAAAACTTAACATTGACTAATGAACCATGAAAATGAGGTCAAGGTCAGATGAACCATGCCAGGCAGACATGTACAGCTTGCAATCCTTCCATACAACAAATATAGTTGACCTATTGCTTAGAGTAATAGAAAAACAGACCAAAACACAAAAACTTAACACTGAGCTAAGAACCATGAAAATGAGGTAAAGGTCAGAAGACACCTGCCAGCTAGACATGTACACCTTACAATCATTCCATACACCAAATATAGTAGACCTATTGCATACAGTATAAGAAAAACAGACCAAAACACAAAAACTTAACTATAACCACTGAACCATGAAAATGAGGTCAAGGTCAGATGACACCTGCCAGTTGGACATGTAAACCTTACAGTCCTTCCATACACCGAATATGCTAGTCCTATTGCTTCTAGTATCTGAGATATGGACTTGACCACCAAAACTTAACCTTGTTCACTAATCCATGAAATGAGGTCGAGGTCAAGTGTAACTGTCTGACAGGCATGAGGACCTTGCAAGGTATGCACATACCAAATATAGTTATCCTATTACTCATTATAAGAGAGAAATTAACATTACAAAAAATCTTAACTTTTTTTTCAAGTAGTCACTGAACCATGAAAATGAGGTCATGGACAATGGACATGTGACAGACGGAAACTTCGTAACATAAGGCATCTATATACAAAGTATGAAGCATCCAGGTCTTCCACCTTCTAAAATACAAAGCTTTTAAGAAGTTAGCGAACGCCGCCGGAACACTATCCCTATATCGAGCTTTCTGCGACAAAAGTCGCAAACCCGACAATAATAGATATTGTTAAGTAGATCAAAAGTAATAC